TTATCATCAAGAGGCTGATTGGACCCCGTTCCACACCCACTACTTCTCGGAAAAAATCTGGTAGAGCTGACAAGCGGCAGTCACTCGGTCGGTATTGTTCGCTTGCAGACTAAAATCGCGGAGTTTTTTTTTGTTTGTTAACAAAGTGATGAGATTAATTTTGTACAAAAACATTTTTCAATTAATCATCTAAATCAACACTGTCCCCTTCAAAATAGCATCGCTTTTATGCAACACACTTGGCCCAGCGAATTTTCCATGCTTCATGACAGGACTTGAAGACAGATTCTGATTCTGGGTCTTGATGGCGTCAGTTTCACCATTCTGAACGCTGTCAAGTGTTCGAAAATGAGAGCCCTTGACTCTCAATTTTAATTTGGGAACAAGTAAAAATCACAAGGTTAAAGATCTGGAGAACTGGGAGCCTGTGGATGCATGGGAATGCATTTTTTCACCAGAAATTCATGAACTGACACTGCTGTGAGTACAACAGCATTGATGTGATGAAGCTCGAAGGATTCAGTTGTCTACAACTTTCATTCAAACTTGCACCACCTTCTTTCTCATATGGCCCAGGACTTCAAGATAATATTTTTTATTCACTGACACCGGACAATATAAATTCTTTATGAACTACCCCATGAGAATAAAAAAAATTATGACTATTGTCTTGACTTTTTATTTGCTCATGTGAGCTTTCTTCTGTCTTGGGATACTGTGGCATGTGCCATTCCTCATTCTGCCTCTTCGTTCCCGGTTCATATTCAAAGAAAACAACTTTCCTTACCTATTAGGACCCAAGCAAGAAACTCTGGTTCAGTTTTGACCTGTTCCAAGCATTTCTGCTGACACTTCGTTCAAGTTAAAATCTTGTGTAACAATTTGGGCCATACATTCATTAATATCAAGTTCATCGGGGATCATTCAAATTGTCAAATGCTGATCTTGACGAATGAAAGCCCCCACACAGTCGACGCTTGCACTTGTTCTCACAGAGGCAGTGTGTTCAGATCACAGTTCATCTTCCACTGTTTCTCGCCCATTTACAGAGTCTCTATGCCACCGACATACATAAGTACATGATAGACAATCACTACTGAACGATTTCTGAATCTCTTTGTAGGTATTGGTAGTGCTCTCCCCCAGCTCGACACTAAACTTGATTGCATAACGTTGCTCCAGATTATAATGAATGCAGTTGCTTCTGTTGTGGTTTGTGTGGATGTATGTTTTTTTACAGCATCACAAAAATGGAGAATAATAATTATTATTCTCCATTTTTGTGATGCTGTAAAAAACATACATAATAATAATTATTATTCTCCATTTTTGTGATGCTGTAAAAAACATACATCCACACAAACCACAACAGAAGCAACTGCATTCATGTCAACAAGTTCAAACTTATACTGATGGTAGAGGAGGGATGTAGCTATCATCTTGTAATGGCCACGGTGCTGCAGTGCTCCCAGTTCTCACACTAAAAAATTAATTATCCTTACTCTGTTAACACATCATGTAGCCCCAGGATGGACCCAACAGAAAACACCGCTTCCAACAATTCTCCTGTTGTTGCTTGATGTAGCTTAATGTGTTCTATCATTGTGTCATCATTTATTGTGGCACTTCCTAGCAATATGCCTCGGATTTCAGCAAATATGTCACCATACACAGGTGAGAGACGACTGGTTTGTTCTAGGAAACAAAATCAAGTACAGCCACTGACATGTTCTTGGAATGCATCAGAAGAGTTGCAGTTATCACTGAAAGTCTCTGAAGCCATGTTAATGACTCACTCACTGAAGAACGATTAATGCCAAAGTCCAAAATGTTATCTCTAAGCCTTCTCAAATCATTACTATATGGCATAGGTCTAATGGTGTCTGTTCCGGTTCTTCTTTCTGCTAAGAAGTAACTTAAAATTTAAAATATTTTTGGTGTCCCAAAAAATATTAAACTACAGGTCTAGAATTAATGGTGTGCTTGTAGTTGAAGTGACTGAAACATGAGATCACTGATTAGAAGTAGAGTTTCCAATTCAGTGTTCATTCTTCAGTGACTGTTCTGATATTCTGATGTTAAAAGCGCCATATTGTTAGAATTAGCCACACACCTACTACACAATATATTTAGCATCCAGTGACCAACCAAACAATGATAACGAGCCAATAAAAGTGAAATATCTAACCACTTTCTTTTATCAGATGAAATCAGAACTAAAACTAGGACTTACAATAATGAATGACTTACATACCTCTATGGCTCACCTGCCATAAAGATAAGACTACAGCTCTTACAGCAACAGCATTGCTACACGAGGTAGGATAATGTATGCAACTCATGAATTTTACAAAATATTAGTTAAGCGCATGTCATGACTAACACACAATATTTTGAAACAGGCAGCTTGCATTAAAAAGTAGAAATAGGGGTGTACAAACCTCATTTTATATAGTTTCATTCAAAATCGAACATATTCTTCTTATAATTTTTACTTTTTACTTTTAAACATGTTCAAAGCAATCTGACATTCTTTACTTCAAAGTACTTACAAGCGATTTCTAGTAAAACACACTTATTGCCTATGTTTCAGAAATATCACATAAATCAGTTAAGATCGCTGTCTTCTGGGATATGATGCCATGCAGTCTGATAGATGTTTAATGATGTTTCAGACAAACATTCTGCCTCTTGTTTCAGAGTCACTATTCAACCATGATGGTGGAGGCAATATATTTCACCAAAACACTGGTGAATGTCTACCAGACTACACAGCATCACATTGCAGAGGACAGTAGTCTTCGTAGTCACTGTTGTGAGAGAATGAAATCGAACATAAAACTACTAAATAATTAACCCAAGTCATTCACCTATAATGTCTGTGTGCTTCCAACAAATACATTTATACTCTACATCATTGTCTGCTAACTTGTCCACGCCAAGTTGGCAAATGTAATTCTGGAGTCCTGCCTATCACCAAAACAAAACAGACGAATTACAACTTCAGATGGTACAACAAATGGACAATGTTGGAGTTAGTGGGTATGCCAATGATAATTTAAAAGAAAAAGAAAACTATCATCACTGTAACCATCATCAAAGAAGTTCAAATTCACTCTTAAGACAAAGGTCAAGAAACTTGACATATGGATCACATGGCAGAGTGCTATTTTAAGGTGAAGAGTTAGATAAGAATATACATCTCATAGTCATGTGAAGTGTACACACTAGGTCTTTGCTGCAAAGAAAGAAATCCATTCTCGACAGTCCAGTTTGGCTGATGGTTTATACTGGCTGGAAACCAGCATTCAATTCTAACAATACCCTGGGAACCTTCATTGGCAGCAAAGTTATCAACATAAAGTGATGTGCAGGACGATAGAACAACTGCACTAACCAATCTATTAATAATTTCAAACAAGATCACACTTAAAATTAGTCCTTGGAGCACGCAATTATCTTGATGGAATATGCAGACAAGACATTGCTGAGACAAATACAGAAGTAATGACCCGGCAGGAAGTTTGAAAGAAAAATTGGTTACCAATGCAAGATTCTATCAGTAGAGGGTTTCCATGATACCAGTTTCACAGTGATGTCATGCACCTTTTCTAAGGCAAAGAAGCCAGCACCAAACATTAGCATATAAGGAAGGTTTCAGATACAATTTTGCAGGTTCACTGTGTAGTCAAGAGTGGATCTATGGAGTTGGAACTCACACTGATCATTCAAGAGAAGATTCTCATGCTAGAAGATACAATCATGACTGATCAGCCAGACAAAGAAATACAAAGTTTAAACATATATGCCTCCAAAATTTTGTTTCTGCATTGTCCTCACAATCTATTATTCCCAATACAACCAAGTGAGCATTAATTAACAAAAACAATTGAAGAGTGTTCTTCAAATTTTACAACTATTGACAAACCAATGTAAAATATAATCAACTGGTAAAATAAATCGTTACAAATTGGTACTGAGGCAATGAATTATTTTTACACCATTATAAACTAGTGTCTTTATATTCAGACAGTTGCGCACCTCATGACTCAAGGTACGCGGGTCGTGGAATTTTTAAGGGCAGAAAAATTCAGGGAACAAGTCCTCCAGGAGGGACTTTAAGCCGTGGGTCCCGTGTCGTAGATTTATGGCACGTAAAAGATCCTCATGTCTCTAGGAGACCTCTGAGCAAAATTAGGCAAAGTTTCCCACCCAAGTAGTTTCCAATGCCTCCGGTAGATGGGGATCATGAATATTTTCCAAAACCTATTACAATGTTAATGTAATTGCCCATAACGGATATCCAAACACAAGCCATAGAAAACTTAATAGATACCATAAACATACGAGAAAAGCCTTCATTGTCAGAGTGACGTCTTTAAGTTTCCGAAAGATTACACTTTGTAGATTTCAGTATCATTTATCATAATAGATGTACTTATAAAGTGTAATCACAAAAATTTAACATAAAAATTTCATTGATTCACTGATAACTGTGAACAGACCAAGATATTTTGTACAAATACAATGCTGTTATTTCTGACTGTCCCAAACAAATGTATTAATAATAGAAATTAAATCATATTGCCCTCTTTTTTAAATATGTACTTTTCAGTAAATGTGGTATTCAATGAGGACCTATTTTCAATAAATTACAATTTACAAGGTACAATTAAACAACAAATAAAACTAGTGAAATGACACATAAAAATTACCCATTAAACAACATTCTAAAAGGCACTAGTGCTGTCCCCAGTACACAAATTAACAAGACTATCTTGCAGGTACTTTTGCAGATAAGCAGATAATCAGATAAAAATATTGGAGATTTACAGATACCTGCAATATCATGACATTCGTAATAATTTTGAGAAAATGATTCGAAGTGTTTTACATTAATGTCTTTAACTGAATCACATGATGATAAATCTGATAGGTCCTGAAAGGAGACCAAATTCTTTCCTTCCATGCAACCATTATCTTTCCCCACATATACAGACCTCAAAGAATTTGGCAGTTGGGTCAACAAACATCTTCAAAGTATCTTTCTGATCTTCATTTAGAACTTGTGGAAATGGGAAAACCTGTGCAGTCTCCATAACACCACGGAAGAGGTTCATGGTGAATGACTGTGATTCCTTTGCTTCACTGGTGGCCTTCTCCACCTCCTCACCCTTCCTTGCCACTTGAGGTGCTGTGGCCAGACCTCTGGAAAAACAATTTTGACACCTGAATTGTAGTGGTTATTTTTCATTATGGAATAACTTTTTGTAATATTTTGTAACTGTTTTAATGTTAAATAAACTGTTGTTTCCCTGAGTAACAATTCCTGCAATTTTGAAATGCCACAGTATTCTGAGCAATAACAGCTGTCAGAATATATATGCAAAAGGAAAAAAGATATTTAGCTGGGAATAAATGAATGAATGAATGAATATACATATTTTCTTGTGGGATCTGAGGTTCTCACAGCAGTGATTACGAAAAGTTCTATCTATATGGCTCAGGATAGGAACCATTGGTGGGATCTTGTAAACATGGTAATGAATGGAGGAACAGTAACTATTAGCTTCTCAAGAAGGATTCTGTTCCATGAAGTCAGTCAGTTACTTCACTGGATGGCTAGTTAGTTAGTTAGGTTAAGTTAGAGAGATTCTTTAGTGGGGTTAGACAGAGTCCACTTGGTACTGCAGCCACTACTGGCCTAGTGTACCAGCCCCAGATAATAGATGATGGTGGCTGTGGAGCAACTTCTGGAATGAAAATTGGCAGGGGAATCCAAAGTATTTGGAGAAAACCTGCCCCAGTGCCACTTTGTCCACCACAAATCCCACATGACCTGACCAAGGCTCAAACCTGGGCTGCTGCAGTGGGAAGCCAGCGACTAACTGCCTGAGCTATGGCACGGCCTTGGTAAGACGGATTCTTTTGTGTGTATATGTGTACGTGAATGCATGTGTGTGTGTGTGTGTGTGTGTGTATTTAGATGTGCATCAGCTTCTAAGGCTATTTACACCCATTTATAAGATCAAGGTAGAAATCAATGAAATAACAATACTTATAAAAGTCAACACAATGGATAACCAAGACAAAACAATGTGCAAGCCAAGCAGAGAGACCCCCATGCCCCCTATCCATGGGGTAGCTTTCCACCCCAATCATGGAGGCAGCACACCCCTCAGAAGACCAGCACCCACCCAACATTATCTGCCCCATGAATTTCTGGTCTTATTATGTATGCATAAAACGTCATAAAAAGTCACCTGACAAAATGAATCTCATTGTAAAATCAGAGATAAAAACATACTTGTCTTTATAAAGGTTAAATGCCAGGGTATATAGAGGCAAGCCACTATAAACCTAAAATTACCATGGTAGTAAAACTTAGTACAGACATAAAACATTAAGATTTTAAAACAGCACACAACATCAGTTAATAGACTCAGAGCACCAATGTGATGCTAATCACTAATGTCAAGACATATGATACACAATGACAATCATCCCCAAGAATACCATACAACATGCTGCGAAGGTGAAAGGTAATTCTTTCTTGAGTAATACAAGAACATCTGGGAAGAATTAATGGCCTTTTTTCCTTTCACTGTAATTTGAGCATGTGATGACAAGTAGAAAGAAAACATTAGTATATATGCATAATGAAATCAATAAAACAATACAGTCTGGGGCATTGTAGTGATCCATCTGTTAGTGGTGGTTCTCAGGAAACAGAAAGCAACATTAGATACAGACAACTTAGTGAATGGCACACCCAATGGGACATAGAAACAGCTGAAATACAAAATAGAGGAAGAAAAACATCCTTTGACATCAAAATTAATAACAAAAATGGCATGCCTTAAGAGTACCACTATCTGACCAAGTGCACAGTGCAGTAGATTCCTTTAAAAAAATGTTGCCTGAAGATGGCCCTGTGTGGCTGAAACATTTAGCATAGCAGAAACACTGAATGTACACATTTTAATAACATTGTAAACATCCTACGAACATTTTAGTGAATGAAATGTGATTTAGTCTTGATTAAAGTTTAAACTGATATTGTTGCATTGTAGACAGAAAACAAGACTACAACAAAATGATTCACATGTAATGTGAAGCCACTGTAAGTGACATTGTACAACGGCCTACTGTCAAGATGGCCTAGCAACGTGACAGTTAAAGCAAATGGCAGACCACTGTTGTTAAGAAACACATCAAGAGGAGGATGTAACTCTGCAGTCCTGAGAAGTGCACATGAATGGTTTTTGCTGTAGAGAACAAAAATCCATTCTGCAGAGCCCAGTGTGGGAGATAATTTATAGCAAACCTGTATCAGGCATTCAATTGTAACCACACCCCAAGACTGTTTCAGATAGCAATGTCCTCAGCATACAGCATACAGTAATGACGGACCTGATGGACCAACCTCATTAACTATCCCACTGAAGGCAAATGCAAACCCAGTCACACTTAACAGCTATGCTTGTGGGATTCCATTTTGTTGAAGACAAAATGCAGAAAGGATACTGGCAAGACAAACATGGAAGTAATGAACCTGAAGAAAGCTTGAAAGAGAAAGTTGTACCTAACACTGAACATTCCAATGACGCAAGATCCTTAGGATATAGTATCACTAAGATAAAGTGCTGGAACATGATGAAACAATTTTGGATAAATGCTCCAGGTTCATGAAATGGTTAAGAGTGGATCTGTAGTGTCATGACATATACCTAGCATTCGAAATGATGTACAAATTGCTGTATGTGAAATTCCAAGGACAGGTCATTTTTCTCTGGGAATCCAGTTTCCTTCACATGTCCTGCCCCACAAGAACTGTTTTAAAGGTCATAAAAAATGACATACATTTGGGTTCATCTACACTGAGACGTTAAGTGTAAGTAGTCATCATGGACAACAAAAAATGTTTCTGAAATCGGAATGCAGTTTTCTACACGCACACGCTGGCAAACTACAATTATTTTCGTTATTAGTAACAAATTCCATGAGGATGTCTTGTCAAAATGTAGATTAGGCTTATTGGTTTTAAAAACATTTTGTCATTGTAGCGAAGGCTTTTAACCAATTCACTCTCACCTTGAATTAACTTCCACAAAAGGAACTACATTTCGTGACAGATTTAAAACACGCCCAAATCGCAACATTGTCAGTAGAAAACGCCCACTGGATATGCCAAGGTAAAAACCAATGAGAAACTTAGAGAAATACACTTATCTAGTTGGTCGACTACGAATTACTGCAGTTCCTACACTCTCTCGAATTCTAACGGCCTCATATTTTTATTCGTACTAAATTATTTCCCAACAGCCAACCGCAATGACCGCTATGACGTAGTGTTTTCTGGGACGAATTACAAGTGTATAGTTTCTCACCAAACGTAGAAAATGTATTTTGCATAAGTACCAACAGTATGACGTTTCCGATACCAACTATTTCCACATGTAAATAATCATGCAAGGATCAATAGCTAGGTATCATGGAGGCTGTGGTGAAAATGGTAAATATTTGTAGACTAGAAGCTAGTGATATTAATCAGATTATATTTAAATCACTTTAAGACCTTTAAGAGCTAAGTGCGGTTGGCTCCAGCCAGCAGACATGCCGGAATCGGCTGAGCAGGCTTCTCGTGCCAAGATCGGCACAGCAACAACGAAGGATACAAAAGATATCAAAGAGAAAAAGGTATCATCGGGTTCACTTGGTGGTGGTGATGGCACCAGAACAAAAGTTGTCACAGTAAAGCATCCGGAATCCAACAAACCCAAGCCAACTGTTAAAAAGAACAGACCAATGATTGCGGATTTAGATGTAGCGAAAGACTTTTTAAGGTGCAAAGAGGATGGTGGGACAAGATTGGATTTAAGCAAATGTAGTATGACACAATTGCCGTCAAGTGTACGTGAATTAACCCACCTTGTTGAATTTTACCTCTATGGCAATAAGTTGGTGACTCTTCCTCCAGAGATTGGCTGTTTGGTCAATCTTCAAACCTTGGCCCTTAGTGAAAACTCTCTTACAAGTTTGCCTAGTGCATTTTCAAATCTAAAGTCTCTCAAAGTCCTTGATCTCAGGCACAATAAACTGAATGAGATTCCTGATGTAGTTTACAAGTTGACGTCACTTACAACATTATTCCTTAGGTTTAACAGAATTAAGGTTGTAGGAGAGGATATCAGGAATTTAACTAATCTAACAATGTTAAGTCTACGGGAAAACAAAATAAAAGAACTGCCTGCAGGGATAGGAAAGTTGGTGAATCTAACAACTTTTGATGTGTCCCACAATCACTTAGAGCATTTGCCAGTGGAAATAGGGCATTGTGTTCAGCTGTCAACTCTGGATCTTCAGCACAATGAGCTCCTGGATATCCCAGAATCAATCGGCAACCTGCAGGCATTAATACGTTTGGGCCTGAGGTACAACCGCCTGAGTGCAATACCAAAGTCCCTCAGTAACTGTGTTCATATGGATGAATTTAATGTTGAGGGAAATGCTATCTCACAGCTTCCAGATGGTCTTCTGTCAAGTTTATGTGATCTGACCAGTATAACTTTATCAAGAAATGGCTTTACATCATACCCATCTGGCGGTCCAGCTCAATTCACAAAAGTATATTCCATCAATATGGAACACAACCAGATTGACAAGATCCCTTATGGCATATTTTCACGTGCCAAGAACCTAACCAAACTCAATATGAAGGAGAATTTGCTTACATCCATGCCATTGGATGTAGGAACATGGCTTAACATGGTGGAGTTGAACCTTAGTACAAATCGGCTGACCAAAATTCCAGATGATATCCAGTACCTGCAGTTCTTGGAGGTTCTCATACTTTCCAATAATCTTTTGAAAAAGATTCCAGCCAGTATTGGAAACCTCCGTAAACTGCGGGTCTTGGATCTAGACGAGAACAAGATTGAATCTCTGCCTAACGAAATCGGTTTCTTGCGAGATTTGCAGAAACTCACAGTCCAGTCCAATCGGGTAACCACATTACCCAGAGCAATCGGACACCTTACAAACCTTTTGTACTTCAGTGTTGGTGACAATAATTTGAGTCACCTCCCTGAAGAAATTGGAACACTGGAGAATCTTAAATCACTGTATGTCAATGGCAACAAGAATCTACAAAACCTGCCCTTTGAACTCTCCCTATGCACAAACCTGCAGGTGATGCATTTTGAGAACAGCCCACTGTCACACATACCACCTGAAATTGTGGCGGGTGGTGCCAGTCTTGTCATCCACTTTTTGAGGATGCAGGGACCTTATCGAGGAATGTGAATATCCACATTACTGTGAAGCACAAAGTGTTTTACTGAACATCTTAATCAGGATGTGTGCCACTGGGCAATGACAAAATTTTGGAGTGCTTTTCCTGATTGCTGTATATTATTTCTATACAGGTTGTGCTATCTGCATAATTTTGAAGTGTTAATAAGTAATCATTCATAATATAGACTTGTGGTGCAAGAAGGAAGCCAAAGAGAAATCAGGTTACAGTGTTTTGCATGAAGTAGCATATAAACTACACATAAGTTATGCTCTAATGTTAACCTTTGATTTTTTTCCACTTGAAAGAATTTATCAGTAATGCCAATCCTATGAACTTGAGGCTGCAATATGACTTTAGAATCAAAATTTTCCAATATACATTTATTCATGGAAAATTGCATATCCTGTTTCATGTTCACATATATGTAAACCTATCGTACCCACTACATATGGCACATGAAGGTGACATGCAGGTCATTTTAAGTAATTTCTGAAAGAGCTATTTGTGAGTTTCATATATATATATGTTTGCCCTTTGATTTATCTGTGGACATGAGTGTCATAGACATTGACCGACTGTGTTGTTTGAAACTTAGTATGAGCAAAAACCTGTAGGTACATCCTTTCCAACCCCACTCATACGACTATCAACACTAGTCATATAGGCTCATGAGTTTGGAACAACAGTGACACGATTCATGTAGAATCTTTTTAAGTTTCATGTGGTGGCAAATCATTCAAAAGTATATAGCTTTAAGGTGCTTTAGGGAAGTGGGGAGTAATATGCTGATCATACAAAATATTTCTATTTGGTGACTTGGAATAAATTGATATGTAAAATTTGATGGTGACATAAACATGACTGTTACTAATATGTTGAGTATTAAAAGCTGCTGATGGCTAAGCCTTCAGAACTCTGAAATACATCAAGTGCTTTTAATACTTGTTTGTTATTTGTTGTGGTGTTAAAAATCCAACTGTTTAGATAAAATTTCCCATTTAAGTCTGCAGTGCTCAGTTGGAGAAGTAGGTTACTTTGTGGATGTATTTATTTCATCTCCCAGAATGTCATTGTCTGACCTTAACTCTAAGGTACTTAGGAAAGTGAAAAGTAACATGGTGATGATACAAAATATTTCAGTTTGATGACTTGGTGTAAATTGACATGTAAAATTTAATGGTGACATAAACATGTCTGATGGCTAACCCTTCAGATCTCTGAAATGTATCAAATGCTTAATAATATGTGCTTGTTATCTGTTGTGATGTTAAATATCCAGTTGTTTTAGATTACATTTTCAATTTCATATGTTGATGTAAGGTATGCCACTCAGTAAACCTGCAGTGGTCACCTTGAGAAGGTTACTTTGAGGATGTATTTCACTCTTCATCTTCCAAGTCATTGTCTGTCTTTCTGTACTATAAACTGAGAATAAGTTACGTTCCTGTATAAATGGCCGTTTCATAACTATCATAAGTGGCTCCATATAGTGTAATTAGCATTGTAAACGATTTTCATCATAGCTATAAAATCAAAACCAAAACAAATTCAGTGTGTAAGTTTTGTTTCTGCAGTATAATAAATTCACTTTTTGCTTTCAACTGTAATTAATACTCAGGAAATTGATTAACTAGACATTGTTATAAAATACTGTGAGTTATCTGTATGACAAGTAGAATGTTGGTTATGGTCACTGGTACGTGTAGAGCAGTGCTTCTCAACTGCCGGGCTGCGAGAGGCTCTTCTGGAATTTGTCATTTTCATTTTCTAAGCATTTTTCATGAATAAATATTTTATAGTGGAAATATTCTGAGGAGAATAATATTTGTGTTGAGCAGCCCTGACACAGAACACCTAAAACTATGTAGCAAATGTCAGTGACCAAGCCGCATATTTTTAAACATGGAAGTATTCATGAATGATCAGGAATTTTCAGACATCCAAATCTTTCAACATTCGGGAAAGGCAATACCGATGTTTATGTCCAATCATAAAAATTGCCTGCAAGCTGATTACAACAATGGGCGGCATATCCTCTGTTCTCAGAACTGAGTGAAATAACATCTGTGTTGCAAATGTCAGTGACCAATCAGCAAGGAAGTATAAAGAAAATGTTTCCACTGAAACTGAAGATCAAGGCAGTCTGTATCCGGTTCTCAAATCTAGTAATACTGAATACTGTTTCTTCGCAAGGTAACTACAAAATGCTACAAGATTTCATTAGTCCAGTGATTGATAACTAATTTAAATGTAATTTTACATTTGTCAACATGCCACACTGTATACTTCTGCAGCTACTCAAGAATTTCCCAGCATTTTATGGAACCCGAAGGTTCATTACCGTGTTCACAAGAGCCCTCCACTGGTCCCTATCCTGAGCCAGATCTACCCAATTCACACCATCCCATCCTATCTCTCTAAGATCCATTCTAATATTGTCCACCCACCTATGCCTTTGTCTTCCCTGTGGTCTCTTTCCTTCTGGCTTTCCCACCAATATCCTATATGCATTCCTCATCTCCCCCATTCGTGCTACATGACCTGCCCACCTCATCCTCCTTGACTTGATCATTCTAATTATACTTGGAGAAGAGTACAAGTTATGAAGCTCCTGATTATGCAGTTTTCTCCAACCTCCTGTCACTTCATCCCTCTTTGGTCCAGATATTCTCCTGAACACCCTGTTTTCAAACACCCTCAGTCTATGTTCCTTCCTTAATGTCAGAGACCAAGTTTCACACCCATACAGAACTACAGGCAAAATTATAGTTTTGTAAGTTACTGCTAGGCTGGTAACCCCTCTTAAAGTCATTTATTCCTCTATACAGGTCTCTGATGTTCTTGTTCTTACTGTTCATTGCACGCTCATCAAGTTTGTCTTTCAGATATTCCCTCTTTTTGTTCCTGAAATGCCTGCTGGTTTCACGTCTTATATTGTTCAGATTATCCCCATTTAACTCGCTTGGATCCTGTAACCATTGCAATTTGGTATACATAAGTGTACTAATCCTCTTTATGATTATGCTATAATTAATTACTAATATTATGTTAGCTTAATGCATGAACACTAACAAAACTCAAAACTGGAAAGGTATTTACAAGTAAATTTGTTGGGACTGGGCCCTCGTCTTATAAAAAAAGAACTTACTGGGCCGCGGTCTCATAAAGGTTGAGAACCACTGATCTAGAGAAGTGCTCTGTAGCTGAATGAAGATGCAAAATAAAGTTTGTACGCCTGATGTAAACAATCTTGATATAAAGTCTGACTGATAAGTTACAGAATTAATTGTTCTGGGTGAAACTAAAGGCCATAACAATTAATTAAATTTATCTACTTCAAATTAATCTACTCCCTGATTGTACTGGTGATGCCAGCATATCTGGATTCTTCTTTGAAGACAGTGTTTTGATTACCACATTACACTTTATTTGCTTCGTGGTACCTCCAGAAATCCCTTGTTTCTTAGAAACAAGGGATTTAGATATGGGACAGAATAGTCACTTAGTCCCAAATCCCATGGATAGGAAAACAGTGGAATTACTCGTATGTGCTTGGCCAAGAATTTTCTTTTTGCAGAATTAGACAATATTATCATGACATTCATGGCACATTTTACTGTTGGCCATCTTTCATGGGACAAAACATCCAATCAGGCGAGATTTTGATCCCCAGTTGCAGTTCTTAATATATTTGGCTGTTTTCTTAGGTTCTGCTGTGGATTTGAAGAAAATATTTTGCTCCACATCAGAAATTTCAAAATGCAGATATACTGATGTACTCCCTATGTCTGAATGTGACTGCTATTTTTCATGACTTAAAAGGATGCAATACGGATGATGTCAGTGAGAACCGATGTCATTTTCTTAATATTATGAGGTTTTTGGCACGACCTCATATTTCAAAATATTCTACTTTGTTCCTGCCTCAGATTATCCTTTTTAACGGTTTAATGTGAGTAAAGTTCTGCTGATAAAAGATTTTTCTCAGGACACCAGACTCTAAAGACATATATAATAATACAGTTAAACTAAGGAGTTAGCTGAGTGTGTATCTCATGATGACTTGTGCTTGATATTATCATGTGTATGAGTCAGTGTTCACAGGATTTCAATTAATAATTTGATTTATTGAACACTTACAGTCATAACTATAAGTGACTATAGCGCTATCACAAATTTACACTCTACAGTTCACTGCAACACGTACTAAGTCTTCTCAATCTGTTTGGTCTTCACCAGTCATTCCCGGGCTCACAGACTGGCAGCCATCTCACACCAACCTCCTGCTCTTCTAACTGCCATCTCAAGACTCCAAGTCCAAGTCACATTGCAACTGATGGTCAGTCAACCAGTAAGTCTTGGTGTCAAGCCCTATCTGGTGCTCATGATCAGATATTTATTACTCTTTGACAGTTACGGTTTTGTTTTTGTGGGGCGCCCTCTCTGACGAGAGGACGGATCCCTCTTTTGTATATGCCGCTGGCCCTTGCCAGAGCAGTCTTTCTTGGGTCCAAATCTCTTGGGACTCACAACCGAATATTACTGTTTCAGATTTGAAACTTCCCTTTTCGTCGCCTCCTACGACTCACAGGGTCATGGTGAAGGTATTCGACCCCACCTCCATATGGGCTTGACTGACTCTGCACTCACTCTCCTCCTTATAACATCTCAGCACGAACAGCACAGTAAACATCGTTCCTCTGTTGCAGTGCAAGTGTTGCTGTAGAAACATGCTTGTATGCAGAGCCATTACCAACGGCTGTTCTATAGTTGCTTATTTTGCAGTCATTGCCGGGCAACGCATTTACATGCCATAATATCTTTCAGATCACTTAGAACGACTGTATACATTCCATGCAATGCATTGTCTTTGTAGTCAACTTTCAGGATTTCATTTCCAGTTTCCAGAACGTTTGCTAGGTCTATATCCGTGGGTTTGCCATTCTGCAAAGCAGTTTTAACACCAGGGCAACCTTAGCGTTCCTATGTACACACAGACGGCACGGGGCCCTCCTGCCCCCTGCTGGGTTTCACTGCATTTGACCGTTTTATGGATGCAATCACTGCAAAACAGCATCCCAAAATGAACTTCTGCCACAACAATATCCACATACAGGTAATCCATCTGTCACCATGTTTCAAAGCGTCACTCCAGTAACTTCTGCATTTCACCTTAGTCATACAAATCCGAAAAATTCACCAATCAAGCCACAATCCAATTGGATCTGTAGTTGCAGCAGTCACCAATTACACAACCAGTTCAGTCAATTGCCAAAATTCCTAAATAGAGCAATCGGTTAGCTGGAATTTTGGATCATATAGGAAACGAGGGAATGGAATAATGGAACCCAGATCCCGTCGACTTGCCTGTAGGACAAAGAATTCGCCAGCACTAGTTTCCATTCACACGACCACCGAGCGAACAAACAGGCATTTAGGATCGTTTAGTATGGTTGCGAAAATGGACAGTTGTGCTACTATAGGAAATACAGGAGAGAGGTTGTAAGGGTGTGGTAAACAGAACTGATGGCGGCTGCAGGAGCAGAGAGCAGAGGGAAGTCGAAAAACTAGAATGGAGGTTGATGAGTGCCTGGAGAGAATATAGTTTGTGCCATGATAAGGGCAGTGCGCATGGATCTGTGTGATCCAGCGGAGAACGCAGTTCTTCTGTCATATGAATGAGGCTTCCTACAGTCTCTCTGGGAGCAGACGAGAGGTTTCCATGAATTGCTTAGACAGAAGCCATTCTTTCTGTTCATATATTGGGATGGAGCTCAATCTCAGCCGCCTCCCTCACGATGCGATCCATGTTTCTGGACTTGGTGGAGGGGGTGGTGGTATGGTGTAGCTGGATGCTGTGCAGTTCTATGAAAAAAATTACGGCATTCAGCACTATCTCCGCTCATCACCAACTTCTTTAAGGAGGACTTCAAGGAGATGGCAGTTGATCTGGCTGCCCACTGTCGGTTACGTGGACGACTCATCATCTGACCACACAGACCCGACAGCCTGAAGTGCTTCCTTGACCACTGAAGAGTGTCCACTAGAAAATTCAGTTCACCATGGAGACGAAAAGAAACGACACCCTTCCCTTCCTTGACACAGATATTGTCATATGTACAGTGTGACTATAGACAGGGTTCGGATTGTTAATCGGATTTAATGAATCTTTAGCCTTTGATACAGCGCGTGACTACACACTAGTATTCACAATCACGTGTTTACTGTCGTTGCTTGGTAGCAGCTTCCAACAGTGCACGTCCTCCTTCCTCTGGGTTCTGAACTGTTACCAGGCTCGGCTACCAGCTTCTCACAATGACTAAACTGCAGCCAGTCCTCTAACCAACTCTTCATTAACTTCACTTGCTAACTCCTCTGCTGCAATTCAACTGTCGTGGAATTGCTGTGTTCGTGTTTATTGGTGGAGCCCTTACTTAGCAGCAGCTCTTGCCTAGAAATGGGTCTGCATGCCACAATACTTACAGCATACACAATAGTTATCTGGAACATAAAATGTACCATAAACCTACTCATACCAACCTCTACCCTATCTCTACCTCTCATCACCGCCCATCCAACAAGCATGCCATACTTTCCACACTGGTACACAGGGATAGAGCTTTGTGTAATCAAGACCATCAAGACACCCTCCATGTGGAGGTGGTGATCCTGGGGGGCATTTTCAGGCAGAACGACTACACCGACCGAGCAGTTTCACAGGACCCTCAACCCTCCCCCGAGGGTTGCCAAGCCTGAAGAAAAGTCAATTTCAGTCGCTTTCCTGCCTTATGTTGGGTGGATATTCAATCACATTAGTAGGTTCCTGTCACGGCACATCAAGTCTGAGGGCCACCACCAAAGAATAATATCTAGTGCTGTTCAGTCAGGCAAGGACGACCAGGGACTACACACCGACAGTAAATGAATTTGGTCAGAAGGGCCATTCGATTGATACCAGGGTGAAGCAGCACCAGCATCTGAAATATCCGGGCAAATTAGCTGTTGCGGAGCAGATTGTTAACTTGAGTCTCCGCTACACCACACCACCAACCTCTCCACTAAGCCCAGAAACATGGATCACATCATCAGGGAGGCGACTGAGATTGAACTCCATCCCAGTAATATGATAGGGAGGATGAGGTCTGTCTAAAGGCCCGTCCACATTACTCATGCTCATGCTCGTCTGACTCACTATGCTCACAAGTAATGTGGACGATATGACAAGTCACGAGACAAGCAATATGCGCCACTGGTTCGTGAAGCTCTGCTTGTTGTTGGTACATCAAAGGGGTTCGCGACAAGCCGCCCGAGTCATGTGGATGATGACGAGCCTTGATCAGTCAACTTTCTGCACTCGTGTGGAACATGGAGTGGACGAACAATTCCACGATCAAGTTTATGAAAAACACCCAGTGTTGTGGGATGCTACCCACTGTTTATATAAAGTGAAAAACTGAAGCGTGGGATTCAATCGCAACGGAACTTAATATAGTCGTGGCTGAATTGAAAAGTACAGTGAACAGTTTGTTAGCTACATACCGGAAAGTGCATCAGAAGCTTAGTGCTGCTGGAAAATCACGATCTGGAGCTGACGAAGTGGACACCCCAAACTGGTTTGCATACAAAGCCTTCTCATTTCTTCACAACAGATATCAACCTCGGCAGACAATCAACACAGAAGTAAGTAAAACTAGTTTCATAGTCAAAACTTGTAATTTACACAATATTTATTTTGGAAGAAAATCAAAGAAGAAAAAAATGTTAACTCATTCACGAAATGTAGGTGTGTTCATGCCTGGAACATTTTAATTAGTTACAAAAATATAAAATAAAGGTAAAAACTCATATTAGTAGATACTTGAAATGTACCTAGGTATCTGGTAAATGAATAGTAAGAATAAATTCTTGAAAAATTATTGATAATCAACTTGCCATGGCACTCTCCCATCTTCGGACATGAAATAAGCAGCAAATTCATCTCTAATGTCATTAGCAGTCTGAGTTGACTGTCGCGAAATGGTTGGTAATGGCGTAAACGTTGTAGCAGTCGTGATCTCATTTCTCCATGTTCCACGAGTTACGTGTCCATTCTCTTCATGATCGAGTGCTCCCCCAGGAGTATAAATTTGTCTGGAATCACAGCTTTTTCGCAAGAAATTATGCAGGTATATGCAAGCCATAATAACACTTTGAGCTTTCTCAGGCTGCAGTAATATAGGCTTTCTTAGTACTCGGAACACAGAAGAAAGTATTCCGAACGCATTTTCCACGATCTGACGTGCTCTTGAAAGTCTGTAGTTGAAAATATGCTTACTTGATCCCCCGTGCTGCTGTCCAGAATACGGCTTCATGATATGATTGTTTAGGGGAAACGCGTCATCTGCGACAATGACATAGGGTACTCCTTTCTGTCTTCCTGGGAGAGCATGAGCATCCGGGAAAATGACTATACCATTCTCCATATTTTTAAAAAAAGTTGTATTTCGAAAAACACTACTGTCTGGAATTCGACCGTGGCAGCCCACATCAGCATACATAAAACAGTAGTCAGCATCCACTAGACCAAAAATAACAATACTGAAAAACGACTTGTAATTGAAAAAGTCACTTCCAGAGTTAGCTGGGCATTGTACTGCGCAAAGTTTGCCATCCATTGCACCGACGCAATGAGGAAAGTTCCATTTTCTCTCATATTCTTCAGCTACCAGCAACCACTCATCCTGTGTCTGAGGTATCTGCAAACAATAAAAACTAATTATAACAATAAACAATAATAATATGTAACAAAAATAATGAACATTCTACTGTATTCTAGTTTACTTATCTTCCTTGCTTTGTTATCAATTTTGTATTTTCATTTTCCTAGTCCTACCTCTATTCTTTTCTATTTTATTTTCATTGCTTTGTTATAGTTTACATCAATTTTCCTTGCTTTATTTCAGGACGGAGGAGAAGCGTCTGGCTCCCAACTTGAAGAGGCTGCGAGCATGTGTGTAGTGATGAAGGCGATCTTGTTAGTAAACAAGAAACAGATCATGCACAAACACAAGTCAACAAAGCACCACCTACACGAAATGAAAACAAAGTATTTGTTTCACCCAGAAAAATTCCAAGAAAAAGTGCTAACACTGAAGATCCCCGAATAGGAGAGGCGTACACTGCTCTATAAGCCGCTATTGCTAAAAAAAGAGATGAATTCAACACCTATGGAGAGTATATAGCGAATGTTCTGCGATCCATGGATAAACCAACACGTGCTTTTGTTAAAAAAGAGTTCTGAGACATAATTTTCAAAGCAGAAAGCTGCATTTATACATCCCTTTCTGCAATAACACAATCATCTGGAACCTCGTGCGACTATTCTGGGTTAAGCTCAAGCAATAGCAACTACAGCTGCTTGTTGTTCATGCCATCTCCTCCACAACCAATCGCTATCAGCACTCAATATGCAGAGACCAACAAACAGTGAAATTCTCGACAGACATCTGTTTCTGCTCCCGACGGTATCAGACATGCCAGTTCACAGTTGCTTGATTTCTTCATTTCGAATGGATTCTTTTATTCAAATTTTCATTTGTTTCTCTCATTTGACTGTTAACTTTTTCTGCTTTATATGTTTTGAAATCCTATTGTAGTTTCTGTCGTTGATATGGCTGAATGTTTTGTAATTATTTTTATGGCTTCGACCACAATATGAATAAAGAATAAAGAAACGTACATTATTATTACACATTAACTTACCTTTACAAACTCCTTCAAACTGTCAAGAAGTGCTGCACATACTTCAGGAAGAATGTTTGATATCACTTGCTTGGAGACTTTAAATACAAAACTGAGACTGGAGTAGGAGTCGCCAGTTGCTAGGTATCTGAGGGTAAGTGCCAATCGCTTTACAACTGGAATAGCTTTTCGAAATGTGCTGTCAGCCTTTGCTATCTTCGGTCCCACCAAATTTATTAGAGCTTCAAAATCTGATGAGGACATACGGCAAAATGTCTTGAAATGTAAATTTTCCACTCCCAAGGCCTCCAAGGAATCACTTCCACTGTATATTTCCCGACTTTTGAAAACTGTGGTCATCCACCATCTGCGTTTTTTAGGTAGTTTCTTGCGTCTTCGTTCTTGTTCCTGACCTAACAGGCGTATCACTAGGAAACTCGCAGCACTCACTACAACTTCATCCATTTTAAATTTTTAATTTAAAAACTATTGCCAATAAATTAAAATAAGACTACAGCCTATACACACTACGAGTAAATATACGGATTCTCACGCGTCGAAGCCTGGCGAGCACGAGTAATGTGGACGGGCATGAGCGACCAAGAAAGACCGTACGCCGCCTCCGTCACATAACCGTACATCTGGATTCAGTGAGTGTATAGTTTCTCACCAAACGTACAAAATGATTTTGCTGTTTCGGCAAGTACGACCGTTTGCAGTGCCAACTTTTTCCATATTCATAGTATCAAGGAAGCTATGTGTCAAGTCTTTGTGAAAATGGCAACTGATTGTGGACGATAAACTTGTTTGTTTAAGTAGAATATATTTAAATCACTTTAGGAGGTAAGTGGTGTTAGCCACAACCAGAATACATGCTGGAATCGGCCGAGCAAGCTGCTGGTACCACGATCGGCGCAACAACAACGAAAGATACAAAAGATATCAAAGAGAAAATGTTGTCATCGTGTTCACTTGGTAGTGGTGACGGCCCTAGATCGAAAGTTGTCACGGTTAAGCACCCGGACTCGAACAAACCGAAGCCAACTGTTAAAAAGAATAGACCAATACTTGCTGATTTAGATGTAGCGAAAGACTTTTTAAGGTGCAAAGAGGATGGTGGGACACGATTGGATTTAAGCAAATCTAGTATAACACAATTGCCATCGACTGTACATGAAGTAACCCACCTTGTTGAATTTTACCTTTATGGCAACAAGTTGGTGACTCTTCCTCCAGAGATTGGTTGTTTAGTCAATCTTCAAACCTTGGCCCTTAGTGAAAACTCTCTTACAAGTTTGCCTGATGCACTTGCAAATCTGAAGTCTCTTAAAGTCCTTGATCTCAGGCACAATAAACTGAATGAGATTCCTGATGTAGTTTACAAGTTGACGTCACTTACAACATTATTCCTTAGGTTTAACAGAATTAAGGTTGTAGGAGAGGATATCAGGAATTTAACTAATCTAACAATGTTAAGTCTACGGGAAAACAAAATAAAAGAACTGCCTGCAGGGATAGGAAAGTTGGTGAATCTGATAACATTTGACATATCCCACAATCACTTAGAGCATATTCCAGTGGAAATAGGGCATTGTGTTCAGCTGTCAACTCTGGATCTTCAGCACAATGAGCTCCTGGATATCCCAGAATCAATCGGCAACCTGCAGGCATTAATACGTTTGGGCCTGAGGTACAACCGCCTGAGTGCAATACCAAAGTCCCTCAGTAACTGTGTTCATATGGATGAATTTAATGTTGAGGGAAATGCTATCTCACAGCTTCCAGATGGTCTTCTCTCAAGTTTAAGTGACCTGACGAGTATCACTTTATCAAGAAATGGCTTCACATCATACCCATCCGGGGGACCAGCTCAGTTCACACATGTATATTCCATCAATATGGAACACAACCAGATTGACAAGATCCCTTATGGCATATTTTCACGTGCCAAGAACCTAACCAAACTCAATATGAAGGAGAATTTGCTTACATCCCTGCCACTGGATATGGGAACATGGCTTAACATGGTGGAGTTGAACCTTGGCACAAATCAGCTGACCAAAATTCCAGATGATATCCAGTACCTGCAGTGCTTGGAGGTTCTCATTCTTTCCAACAATCTCTTAAAAAGGATTCCAGCCAGTATTGGAAATCTCCATAAACTACGGGTCTTGGATCTAGAAGAGAACAAGATTGAATCTCTGCCGAATGAAATTGGTTTCTTACGTGATTTGCAGAAACTCATAGTGCAGTCCAATCAGGTAACTGCGCTACCCAGAGCAATCGGACACCTTACAAATCTTGTGTACCTCAGCGTTGGTGAAAATAATTTGACTTACCTCCCTGAAGAAATTGGAACACTGGAGAATCTTGAGTCACTGTACATCAACGACAACCCAAGTCTGCACAACCTGCCCTTTGAACTTGCCCTGTGCACAAACTTGCAGATCATGAGTATTGAGAACAGCCCACTATCACACATACCACATGAGATTGTGGCGGGGGGCCCCTCTCTTGTCATCCACTTCCTGAAGATGCAGGGACCTTATCGAGCAATGTGAACACAAACATTATTAAGTAGTGAAGAACAAAGTGTTTTACTGAACATCTTAATTGGGATGTGTGCCATTGTGGAGCAACAAAACTTTGGAGTCCTTTTCCTGAATGCTGTATATTATTTCTATGCAAGCAATGCTATCTGCATGACCTTCAGTAATTTATGAGTAGTCATTCATAATATAGACTTGTGGTACAAGAGAAAAGCCAAAAGAGAGATCAGATTACAATGTTTTGCATGAAGTAGCATATAAACAACATGTAAGTTATGCTCAAGTGTTAATTGCCTTTGCCCCCCCCCCTCATTCGAAAGAATTTATCTGTGGTGCCAGTCATAAGAGTTTCTGGCTGCAGTCTGACTTTAGAATCAAAATTTTCCTCTGTGAATTCATACATGATAAATTGCATATCCTGTTTCATGTTCACACACACATATATATGTAAACAGATCATACCTACTGCATATGGCATGTGAAGGTGACATGCAGATTGTTCTAGGGTGCTCTTTGAGAGCTTTATTTGTGAGTTTCATATGTATGTATGCACTGTGATTCAACTATGGACATCAGTGTCATAGAAACTAATTTGAATATGTTCTGCAAAACTTGGTATGAACATAAAGTTGTGGGTACATACTTTCCAGCCCCACTCATTAGCACTATCAACACACTAGTCATACAGGCTCATGAGTTTGGAACAACAGTGACATGATTCATGTAGAATCTTTTTAAGTTTCATGTAGTGGCAAATCATTCGAAAGTATATAGTTTTAAGATACTTTAGGAAAGTGAAAAGTAATATGCTGATCATACAAAATATTTCTATTTGGTGACTTGGAATAAATTGATATGTAAAATTTGATGGTGACATAAACATGACTGTTACTAATATGTTGAGTATTAAAAGCTGCTGATGGCTAAGCCTTCAGAACTCTGAAATACATCAAGTGCTTTTAATACTTGTTTGTTATTTGTTGTGGTGTTAAAAATCCAACTGTTTAGATTACATTTTCCATTTCGTATGTTGGTGTAAGGTATGCAACTCAGTAAGTTTTCAGTGTTCTAGGTTACCCTGTGGAATTATGTATTTCTCTCTCTGTCTCTCAGAATGTCGTCGTCTGTCTTTCTGTACTTTAAACTAAGAACAACATATGTAACTGTATAAGTGGTCATTTCATATCTAACATGAATGGTTCTATATACTGTAATTGGCATTTTAAATGATTTCCAACATAGCTGTAAAATGAAAATCAGAAGAAAAATCAGTGTGAAACTTTTGCTGTTCCAGTATAATAAATTAACATTTGTCAGCTGTAATAAATACTGAAGAAATTGATTGACCAAACTTTGTTATAAAATGCTGTGAGTTGTCTGTATGACACGTAGAATGTTGGTTGTGATCTTTGTTCATCAAGAAAAGTGCCCTTTAGCTGAATTTAAGTGCAAAATAATATTTGTACTCCAGATGCAAACAACCCTAATACTAAGTCTCACTCATAAATTACAGAATTCATTGTTTTGTATGAAACTGACCACCTCCACCTCCACCACCATCACCTCCAGTGATGGAGGCTAGCTCTTTCTAAGGGACCCAACTGAATAGGTTTTTCCTTCACCTGAGGACGGAAACAGATCCAGTTTCCGAAACGTCGTGTTTTTATTTGTTATCTTAAAAACCAGGACGATGGATGAAGTCCAAAATCCCAACATATCAGTTTCCCCCTTATTTTACATTGTGATGCCAGCATGTCTGGGATTCTTCTTTCAGTACAGTGTTCTGATTCCCACATCACACTTCATGTGATGTCTGGTTCCTTCAGAAGTCCCTTCTTTTTTTTTTTTTCTCTTAATTATGTTTTATGTAGGCACTCAGTCCCTAATCCCGTGGGTGAGGAAACAGTGGAATGTTGTGCTTGGTCAAGAATTGTTTTCTGCTGAATTAGAGAACATTATCATGACATAGAGGACAATTTTTTCTGCACCTGTAATTCTCTACAGCTATGGATGAAATAAGTACTAATAATAATCCGTCAAGTTAAAATGTCTTCTTTATGAATGAGAGGATCTGAAACCCTCAGGTAGCGCTGTAAGTAGACAAGCACACAATATTTCTCTTCCTCAAAAGTTTTGTCATTATTTGTGGGATATATCATCCCCAGGTGCAGTTCTTAATATTTCTTTGGCTCTTTTCCAAGTTTCTTATGAGAAAGACTCTACAAGACAAATATAATTACAAAGTTAGAAACTACTAAGTTAATGGTGTGTGTATCTCATGATTAGATGATTGAGGTTGACTGGATAGTGCATTAAATGAAACCAGAACTGTTATTTAATACTGGCTTAATCACAGGGACGTTACTTTTTAGTTTACTTCCCATAAAGTAGGGGTCCCTCCAGAACATTGATACGTATATACCAAACTACATATCATCTTCCAGAAGATCTTTATAGTCATTGGCACAATAACCCAGAATCTCATATAACGTTAAACTTGCCTGACAACTTTTGGTGTAGATCCCCAATCCAAATTTCTTGAACACTTCTTCTGTGCTTTTTTTCATCTACTATTTCATTTTTATGATGATATAATACAGTGCTTAGTTTTGAGAAGTAATGTAAAAATAGCAGTTTTAAAAATGATTTGTTATCGTTCCAATACTGTCCGAATCATCAGTCACTAAATGCTACTCCCAATTTCTGTTCTAGTATCAGGCTACTGGTATAGCGCAGGCATTTAAGTGAATATTTACAGTATCCAAGACGTATATTCGAAACATAGGCAAGATGAACATTAATGTTTCATCACTAAAGATGAAGGAAATGAGCATGAATGACAAGAAAATGAAACTGTTTGAAATAATTTGATATGTATGTACCAAGTTGCTCTGATATCATGGATTCATGGGATTTCAGGTAACAAAATATCCAGTGTAACTAATTACTTTTCAAGATATATGTGTGTGTGTGTGTGTGGGTATATAACTGATTATAAGCTTTCACAGTGGTTCACCGTTGATGTTTATTCTTGCGTCTTTGCACCATGTGGATGTGGGCAGTGATCTTGATAGCACCTGCATCATCAGGGTTGAAATGATTGAGTGTCCATGTATATATAGATCTTGGTTCAACAGTCCAGCGGAGGGAAATCTGGAGGTTTTCTCTACTAGAGACAGCAGACAGAAATGTGAACAGAAACAGCCCTTCTAAGGGCCACTGAGTGCTTAAAAAGCCATCAGCAACTGATATTCCCAAGCAGTGATCAATTTGAATGCTTACTAAGCATAGTGTTTCTCCCTGCTGTGTGATGAGCAGTGTGGAAGAAGGAATGGGGAATGGTATGTAATAGGAGGAAGATGGGCCAGGGTGGGGGAGCAAATTCCCTATGGAATTGTTGCAGCTCTCTCTCACTGTGACATGGGTTGTGTGGAGTATGCATGATTATGACATCCTCTCTGCTGCTTAAGTATGTGGATGATCATTCTACAGCCAAGGTGTAACATGTAACTTCCTTCTGTATTGAAATTCTGGTGTAAGCTGATTTCTCTGGCTTCCAAGACAGCTTTCCTAATGCCATTGTGTCCAGTGTTCATGGCTGATTCAATGTTCAGCCACATCCAAGTATTTGAATGACATTTGACTGAATGCTCAGCCACAGCTGAGTGTTCAAATGATAAAGCCAGAAGAGTCTGGTGTCCTTCGTGCTTTCTTCAATCATGTGACTTGTCTCACCAATGTACAGTCCTACATTTGCATGGGATATCATAGACTCCCTCAGCTTTTAGACCAGGCTGTTCTTAATGGACCTGAGAGTCCTGTATGTCTTGGAAAGTGATAGATATGTGGTTTTATGTTGTTCCATGCCATTATTCTGCTGACTTGGTTTCCAGCATGGTGAAAATGCTATGCTGATGGCTTTCTGCTTACTGTCTTGTCTCCCTCAGTGTTTCACTGATGTAGAGTGCTCTGTGGATCTGCCTGGGAGAACAACCACTGCTGCACCCCCCAGGTGGCCAGAAGAAATGTGAGAGCATTCCCAATCATCTTCACCTCCCCAATTAATCTTCCCTCCTTCCAAAAAGAGATTAAGTCCACAATACACAACTAGTTTTCACTGTGGATAGTTAGAGCTGGGGATCGCATAATCACGTAGAGTCTAACCCATTATAAGGTCAACGTCTCACAGCAAAACTTTTACCACTTCACCTTCTAACTGAAAAGCCAGTTATCCAACACCTCCCTATCATGCATGTACATCTTCTGAAGACATCACTCTCACCTTAGAGCAGTTGAGCTTTGATGTCATTAGTGTCAAACACATGACAGCTAAATGCCCCTCATATGAGGGTCCAAAAATAACTGCATTCGTATCTTTCTTACTTGCATCCCTGGCATACTGCTAGAAGTCTATCTTCATAATGTACCAACCTATACCATGCTCTCATCAAGGTAAAAGCCTGCATGCCCCAGGCTGGCCTCATGCAATGCTACAACTGCCAGCAATTCAGCCACATCTGGATTCATTGCAAACAGCCATCAAGATGTCTCTGGTGTAGGGGTGACCATTACCAGCAAGAGTGTCAGGAGAAAGACGATAGCAGCAGCATATCGAAATGCTGCAACTCCAGTGCATGGCATGCACCCAACTACAGAAGTTGTAGCTCAGCCAAAAAGGGACAGCAGCACAGAAAGCAATGTCCTGCTGTCTCTTCAGTCAAAGCTTGATTTTGAGATTGGCAGTGCCAGGGATGATCTGTGCAGTAGCTGCAATAGGCTCCAAACCTAGACCAACATGGCCACCACATCAAGAATCAGATCTCTAAGCCTGTGATGCCTGCATCTGACAAATGCATCACTGAAGGGGATATGTTTACTCTAATAACCACAGTGTAGCAGATCATGACAGGTTTAGTCTCCCAAATAGAAGATGATTGCTTTTCCATCATTATGAAAGCAGTCTATGGACTTGTCATAAGGGACTTCCTTCATTGCATATATAGTATAATTAACATTTCACAATTAGACCAATCCCACTTCTACCCAGAGAGGAGTTACCAAAATGGGGAAAAAATGCAAGTGTCCTGTTGTATGCCACCACCTGGCCAGGAGACCAAACATGGCATGATACTACAAGTGCATGGGCCAGCATGTACCTCTGAAATATCAGCAGCACTGCCCACATCCATACAGTGCAGAATCAACATCACGATGTAGATCCTCCCCTCACTGTGTTCAGTGTTGTCAGATAAAGTAGGACATGGCTGGTCAGCATGAGACTGCTCAGTTGTTTATAAAACTGGAAAGATTTTATTTACCATTTGGGATTTGAGATTCTCATAGCAATGACTGTGACAGAGTCCCTCCATCTTCATGGTCAAAAGATAAACCAAGCAGGCAGTGTTACATCACAGAAGACAGGTTAAAAAAAAAAGTCCGAGCCATAGCTCAAGCGGTTAGTCGCTGGCTTCCCACTGCGGTGGCCCGGGTCTGGTCAAGTGGGATTTGTGGTGGACAAAGTGGCGCTAGGGCAGGTTTTCTCTTGGTACTTCAGTTTCCCCTGCCAATCTTCATTCCACCAAGTTCTTCATAATCACCCTCAGGTATCATCTGGGGCTGGTACAATAAGCCAGAAGTGGACTCAGTCCCACCCCACAAAGCAATAAAAAAAAAGGGTAAAGTTGTCCTTGTGATTAACTAATTAAGCACTATGCCATGAAGGTGTATGGGGGAGTGGATGTATAGGTCCACATTTTCTTGACCTCAGCACTAGTTGAAGGTGAATGGTCAGCTTTACACCCCAGCCACTTTACCCTCAGGGAAAGAGATGCCAGAACTGGTCTGTATGACTTGGAAAGAGAAAATTCTCAACCATACTGGGACTTGAACTCCAACCTCTCGGTCGTCCAGCCCATAGCCAGTTGCTATATTGACTATGCTATCCCAGCTCTCACAGAAGACAATACTCTTCCTTTTACCATTTTCTTTTAAAGCTGTTTCTTATTAAATCTTAGCAGATATATTAGTAAGTTCCGTCGCATTAGAACATTGGGAACTGTATGTAGACTTCCATATAGTGGTACAGCCAATTTTGCAAATATTTATGAATAAAATATATTCTCCATATCATTAGATACATCAGCTTTTCAGTACCAAGATCTTCCTCAAGAAGGTGATAGCTACTTAGTTGATTAAAATACATAGACAAAACAACTCCGCCCAGTGTGACTATTGAAGTTTTTACTACTTGAAAACTTAACACCCTTACATGTTTCAGCCCCTATAGACCATCATCAGAGGGACAACGATACTTTTGGAAACTACTATTACAATCGGTGTTTT